CTTTAGTAATCTGTATCTCGCGTTGTATAAGTGCGATCGGATTACGCCAAATGGCGTTAGAAAGATAAAATTTCGTACTAAAAAAACTTTTCAGACAGTTTTGTGATTGCTTGAGTCAGTATTGTTTGAGTGCGTGTCAAAGATGGACACCAACAAAGAGAAAAAACGCCATATTTTACAGTTTTTCTTCGATAAAGGCGAAACCGCAAGTCAGGCGGCTGAAAATGTGAATAGTGTTTATGGTCCTGATACTGTAACAGTCAATATCGCGCAATTTTGGTTTCGTCGATTCCGTTCCGGTAATTTTGATGTCAAAGATGCACCACGCTCTGGAAGGCCAATTGTCGAAAATGTCGATAAAATAATGGAAATCGTCGAGTCCGACCGTCATGTAAGCACTGTTTCGATTGCCCAGGAGCTAAACATTGCACAAAAAACCGTTTGGAACCATTTAAATAAGGCTGGATACAAAAAGAAGCTCGATGTATGGGTGCCACACGAGTTAACGCAAAAAAACCTCATGGACCGAATTTCCATCTGCGAATCGCTGCTGAATCGCAACAAAATCGACCCATTTCTGAAGCGAATGGTTACTGGTGATGAAAAGTGGGTCACTTACGACAACGTCAAGCGAAAACGGTCGTGGTCGAATCGCGATGAGCCGGCGCAAACGGTGGCCAAGCCAGGATTGACGATCAGGAAGGTTTTGCTGTGTGTTTGGTGGGATTGGCAGGGAATCATCTACTATGAGCTGCTCCCCTACGGCCAAACTCTTAATTCGGACCTGTACTGTCAACAATTGGACCGTCTGAAAGAAGCAATCGCCCAGAAGCGGCCAGCTTTGGCCAATAGGAGAGGAATTGTGTTCCATCAAGACAACGCCAGGCCACACACATCGATAGTGACTCGCCAGAAGCTCCGGGAGCTTGGTTGGGAGGTTCTTATGCATCCACCTTATAGTCCGGACCTGGCACCAAGTGATTACCACCTGTTCCTGTCTATGGCGAATGATTTTGCTGGTGAAAAATTCGCCTCAAGAGAAGCTTGTGAAAATCGACTGTCCCAGTTTTTTGCCAACAGGGACGAGGGTTTCTATGAGAGAGGCATAATGAAATTACCTTCAAAATGGCAACAAGTTATCGAACAAAACGGTGCATATTTGACCTAAATCGGATCATTCTATGCTAAATAAAGCCTTCAATTTAATGCAAAAATAATAGATTTCTTTTTACTACACCTTATATTATAGTGGATGATGTGATGGTGCAATATTCTAGTTGCATAAAATATTTGGGAGTGAATATATCAAATAATCTAAGAGTTGGGACCAATAATATTGTAGGAAAAATACATCACACACAAAACATATTTTAAACTATATGAAATATACTACTAAATATACTACTAAAAATAACCAGACATCTGTTACCTAATGAATTAAAGGTTAGATTAATCATTTTGCTAATTTATCTTCATTTGGGTTACTGCTGCGTTAACTGATAGAACAAAGAAATATAACTTACGACTGCAGAGAGTCTTAAATACATGTGTTAGATTCATTTTCAATGTCAAAAGGGATGAACATATCTTACTACAAACTGAGATGGCTCAAAGTAGATTTAAGAAGATTGTATTTTGTGGGGTGTCAAATCTTCAATATTATTCATACTCAACAACCAAGAGTTCTCTCTGATAGTTTCACGTTTAGATCAGCTCAATTATGTAGAAATACTAGGGCAACAGGCAATCTTCTTCCGTTACCTCAGTATAAGCTATATAAACGCTCGTTTAAATTTAAAGTAATCGAACTTTGGAATGACCTTCCGATGGATATAAGGGATGCTCAATCAATTAATAGTTTCAAGGTGGAGCTATTTAAGCATTTAATTAGGATCTCTTTTGATTAGCGACTATCACTAGACTTCTTTCTTTATGCGCAAAGTCAGATGAATGGATTGTTGTAGTTACGAGGGCAAGTCAATAAGTACTTAGAAAATCTGTCAGAGAGCACTTGCAGTGTCATGTCACATTACTTTTTGACAAGCAGCATCTTTCAGCTGATTACTGTCAAATTTTGAGCCGAATTTATCGCATGGTTTCATTTCTGTAGACGATTAAAAGCGAACAACCTTTGTATTTTTTGCAAAATGAAAAAAAACGAGTTTCATGCAGTGATCAAACATCTACATATGAAAGATTTAACGCCGAAAGAAATCAAAGCCGAGTTCAATAATGTTCGTAGCACATCTGCATCAACGTTTGCAACTGTATACAATTTGGGTGAATGAAACGTGGTCGTACATCCATATGTAATGTATGCACTCGTAATGTATGCACCTCGTTCAGGTCGTCCAATTGAGGCTGCTACGCCAGAAATCATATATAAAATCCACGATATTGTTTTGACTGATCGACGAGTGAAAGTGCGCGAACTTGTTGAGGCCACAGGCATATCATATGGCACAGTGATTTTAATTTTGCACGAATAATTGGGTAGCTTGGGTGAAAAAGCTATCGGCAAGATGGGTGCCGCGTTTACTCACTGTGAACCATAAGCGCGACCGTGTGACAATTTCAAAACAATGTTTGAAGATGTTTCAACGTAATATAGATGAATTTCTGCGTCGATTCATTACTGTGGACGAAACATGGATCCATTACTTCACATCCGAGACGAAGGAACAGTCAAAACAATGGACTTTACCGGGTGAACCAGATCTGAAGAAGGCGAAAACCCGAAATTGGCCGTAAAGGCCACAGTTTTTTGGGCCACAGTTTTTTGGGATGCACGCGGTATAATTCATATCGATTATCTTCCGTCGAAGCAAATGATCAATGGCGATTACTACGCAGCCTTATTGGACCGTTTCAACAACATTTTAAAGAAAAAACGTCCCCATTTGGCGAAGAAGAAAGTGCTCTTCCATTAAGACAATGCACGGGTTTACACGTGCCCGGCACTGATGATCAAATTCAACGAATTCCGCTACGAATTGCTTCCTCATCCAGCATATTTGCCAGATTTAGCTCCCTGCGATTATTTCCTGTTTCCAAACTTGAAGAAATGGTTCGGAGGAAAGAGATTCACCACTAGAGAGCAGCTCATCGCCGAAACAGAGGCTTATTTTGAAGGGTTGGACAAATCATATTATTCGGGCGGCTTGAAAAAGTTGAAGAATCGTTGGATCAAGTGTATCGAGCTGAAAGGAGACTATATTGAGAAATAAAATTAAATCGATAAAAAAAAATGTTTTACTATGTTTTTCCAAAAATTTATTGACTTGCCCTGGTATTTATTCTATTCCATATATTATACACTTTATTTTGCTACTATATATAGTTAAATCTTTTGTACTATTCTTATATGTGTTATATTCAAATTATAGTCTTAAATGTTGTACAGTAAAGTTATATAACTTCACTTTGTTATATTCTTAATACAATTAAGAAACATGTATCTTAACTTTGTGCGTCTGAGGGGGATATAATCTCAGGGCGTTTTGAATAAATGTATGCTCTCTCTCTCTCTCTCTCTCTCTCTCTCTCTCTCTCTCTCTCGCTCGCTCGCTCGCTCTCTCTCGCTCTCGCTCTCGCTCTCCCCCCCTCCCCCTCCCCATCTCTCTTTTCCCCCATCTCTCTTCCCCCCCTTTTTCCCTCCCTCCCTCTTCGTCCCTCCTCGTTCTCTCCGTGCTTTTACTTGTCTTTTTTTACTTAATCTAAGAAACACTTTCCAATTATACGTGTCACTTCGTTACCTGTATTTTGCAATTTCACTAACATTGCTGGATAATCAAAGTATAATATTAATAAATTTTTCATGAAATTTTTCATAAATAATAATATCTTACTATCTAACGGTGACAATCTATTTTGATTATCGACATAATTGATACATATAAATCGATTTTCCTGCGCTGAAAAATCTTTCCGAAAACGGAATGTAGAGCATTCAAATACTTCAAGCCAATGTTTTTAGATTAGGCTATTCTTCTTCATTATCAATGGATATTTATCCATATTCTTCAAATGATTCCATAAAAATTCAGTAGATAGTAATGATGTGTTTTTCCTTTCACAATTTTTTTTTGACATATAGAATTACAAAAATAACATTCAGTTTCTTTTTATCATTATATTTAAAAACATTTCCATATGTTAGATTTTTCTTATGCCATTGTATTTTATAATTTTTTTCTTAATCGGTCGTAAAATTTATGATATCTTTTCATTCACACAATCATATCACGTTACAGCAGAATTTTTATATTTATTTTTCTTAGCGTTGAGTGCGCTATCAGCATTAAAGGCTACTACAGACGAACAACTTTACAGCGTCACAATCGAAACGCCGACCCGTTCATACGCTATATTCATACATTTATATTCTGTGACGCTACAAAAAAGTGAACATATTTGCGACACTTTTCTCCGTAGCTCCGTATGAACGAGTCGCCATTTTTGATTGTGGCGCTACAAAGGCGCTCATCTGTAGAAGTCATAATGCAGCATTCTACATCCTATTCTTGTTATGAATTCTAATAAATGATAAAGATAGTATGACACAATAACACTGATGCTGTTGATATCGCATTACCCGATTGCAATCTTAACTGAACATATTGCAGAGTTTACTTTTTTTTTATCTCCTCAACGTAAAAAGAACAACGGAAAAGGTGAAGTGCGAGAAGTTCAACTGAAAAGAATAGAATCCTACATCAATGGCACAAACTTTTAATATAAAATTCAGCCAATATATATTGTTGGATACTAATGATATATACGGCTATCCGATCGGATAGTGAAAAAATATTAGATATTTTCCGAATATTTGGTGCATCTCTAATTTGAATTATAATATCATGATGCAAAAATATTATTTAAGTTTACTTATATCAACAATTAATACATGTATATCGAATAATAGAGCATACAGTTACTCTATTACACATATTATATTTTATATATAATATATAATACAATTTTCCATTTTGTTTGTGCAGAAATCTTCTTGTAACATCAATTGCTGCTGCGACATCGATTGTAATCATTCTTATTTATCTGCTTTTCCATACTGTCAAAATTATCACATGGAACTTTATGACAGACGATATTGCTATAATCGTAATTTTATACAACGAAATAACACACCTTTTATTTTTGAAAAACTTGCAAATAACTTGTTTTGCATTCTGTACGACAATCTTCCATCTATGTATAGTACTAATAATAATTTGGTAAGTAAGTTATATATGAAAACTATTTGTAAAAAAATATCTACGAGGTCGTTAAAAAAATTTTGAGTTTAATATAGGAACTTCTTTTCGGTCAAATGCAGTTTTATTTTTCAACATAATCTCCATTTAAGTCGATATATTTTTCTCAGCAATACTCCCACTCCTTTAACCATTCAAATAATAGTTGGTATCTTGCTCTGCAAAATAGCCTTCTACGATGCGATAACTGTCTCGTTCGATGAAAATCTTGGTCCTCCGAGTCAAACTTTGAGCCTAGGAAATAGGATAAGGTCGCTGGGAACTAGATCTGGCGAATACGATGGGTGGTCAATCAATTTAAATCGCAATTCGTGAATTTTTGCCATGGTAATCGTCGAAGTATGAGCGATGCGTTATTTTTAGATGGAACGGTACTTTCTTCTTCTTTAAATGCGTTTTTTCACAATTTTTGCTTCAGCTTATCAATTAATAGCGCGTAGTACCATAATCAGTTAATGAGATGCGTAGTAATCCCCATTATTTTACCTTTTTCATGGTTGTCGATGAACAATTCTATGATTATCCCTCAAAAAACAGTCGCCTTCCCGTCCGATGAAACTGTCTTCACTTTCTTCGGAACAGGTTCACCCTTTGCAATCCACTGTTTTGACTGTTCCTTCGTCTCAAGAGTGAAGTAATGGATATATGTTTCATCAACAGTTATTAATCGACACAAAAAAATCTGCTTAAACCACTCTAACAGAGCCTTGGAAATGTTCATTCGAATGTGTTTTTGGTCAACAGTGAGGAAGCGTGACACCAAATTCGCAGTTAGCTTACGTATGCCTAATTTTTCAGTCAATATATGATAAACATATTCTTTCGATATGTCCACAGTCTCTACTATCATTCTAACCTTGATTTGATAATCGTCCAGTATCATTTGGCAAATTTTTTCGATGTTATTGATGATGGTCGCTCAATTGTTAGTCGTCCCGAAGTTCATCATCAGCTAAACTATTACGATCATGTTTAAGTTCAGCTGCCCATCTTTTCACGGTAGCAAATGAAATGAGGCAGAGTCTTCGTAAACAGCGTCCAACTTGGCTTTAATTTGTGCAGACGTATTGTCTTTCAAGCAAGAACTTATTCACATGATATATTCGATTTTTTCCATTTTTACAAAAATACTGACATATCTACTAGCATATACGAGGTCTGGCTATTAAATAACGAGACTGCTTATGAAAAAGAGTTTTATTTTAAAAATTATTCTACAATTGAATGCTCCCCTTCAATGTACTCCCCTCCCCTCGCCACCCACCCTTCCATTCGTTTTTTCCATTGGTCAAAGCAATGCTGGAAGTCTTCTTTTGTAAGAGCATTTAGGAGCTCCGCCGATTTTCGCTTCACCTTTTTCAACTCGAACCGAGTTTCTTTTAAGGCAGACTTGATCTTCGGAAACAGGAAAAAGTCACAGGGTGCTAAATCAGGCGAGTACGGCGCGTGTTCGAGCATTGGAATGCTTCTAGCGGCTAAATAACGCTTCACAGACAGCGCGTTATGGGCAGGTGCGTTGTCCTGGTGCAAGATCCACGACTGTGTTTTTCCACAACTCCGGTCGTTACGAACTCGCTCTCGCAGTGTTGCCAAAACTGTCAAATAGTAAGTTTGGTTTACAGTTTGACCCTCTGGAACCCATTCAGCAATTTCATTGATTTTGGTCACTGTTTGCGGAGTTGAAACAGAGACAGGTCGACCTGGACGTTGGTCATCTTCGGTGCTCTCTCGACCTTCAGAAAACCGTTTATACCATTCGAAAACACGCGCACGAGATAGAGAATTCTCACCATAGGCCTCTTTCAACAACTTATAGCACTCAGTCGGAGTTTTTTTTAATTTAACGAGAAATTTTACATTGATCCGTTGCTCGTGTTTTTCGTCACAAATTGTTATCGGCACGAGAAAAAAACAAGTTTGTTTCTAACCTCTATAGAAAAAATACTACTACTGCGACAAAAACGTGCTTTTCGTACTGGAATAGTAGACACTTCCAGTTATCCAACGCTGCATTCGTTTCCCACCCTACCCCTCTAGGACGCCTTTTACGCGCGCAGTCTCGTTATTTAATAGCCAGACCTCGTATGACTGTCAAATAACAACAGAGCGTTAAAAATGGCTACAATTTTCAGGTATCTTTTAAATCATGTATGATTGTAGTACTAGAATGATTTTGACGAGTAATGTCATCTTCATGTTGTGAGGCTCAAAACTTTTGAAACGACTCTCGTATATGTGTATATTATTTACAAATTATTTTTAATGATAAATTTTAGATTAAAAAAATTTTATACGGCTACAAATCTAATTTTTTGTATTTATGCAGAAGAATTTTAGAATATTACAGTAACATTTATATTTAAAAAATCAATATTGATATGAATCCTTTCAATATTACTGACAATCAGTATTAAATGTTTTTCTTAGAAGTGTATTATATGATTCTTATGCAATATGATTCCTTCGATTACATGGTACTACGAAATAAAAAAAAAATAAGCACTTTTGAAGTGACGTAGTGTCTAATGGAACAACAAATTACAGCGTACGAAAAAGAATCCCGCATAATCTTATAAGAAATAGGTTACGGTCAAATTGCTTCAAATTTTAATATTTTGTAGCTTATGTCAAGCTGATTAAAAGTCCTCATGGGCATAAACCTTCAAATGCCTTAGTTTTCGCTGCAGATTTTCGGAATACCACTATATACATATACCTGTCACGGAAAAAAATTGTCAGACATAATATTATAATACAAAAACAAGTATGAAATTAATACAACTGGCTAAGTATACCATTATGAAAGACTTCGAAAATCCTATAAAAATCTATTCAAAAATTATTTGTGAAAAATGGATACATTATCAGCGCAATTACCCAACATTTATATGCAATAAACATTTAATGCATCCAAAAATGCGTGCAGTTAGGATTTTAATATATTTAAAAGTATATGCAACTAAAGTTTAACGTACTTATTCTCTTTCATGCAAATTTTAAGTCGCATGAAACAGGCTGTGATGAAAATGACGAACAGGATCATAGTAAAGCAGATACTTGGCATGTCCAAAAATGGGTTAATATTAGGTTGTTCGGAAAGTAATTTCGTTTTTTTTATGAAAATGAAAGACGATTTTCTTATAGTGAATAAATATTTTATTGAATTATATATTGTCCATTCCAATACCTTTTGCCATCTTTCTGGCAGTAGCATGATTCCACGCTCATAAAATTTTTGTTCTTTGCTGGCAAGAAACTGATCCAGGTGATTTTTGACTTCCTCATTTGAAGTAAAAGTTTTACCGTCTAAAAAATTTTGTAGAGACCGGAACAAATAATAATCAGAAGGTGCCAGTTCTGGAGAATATGGTGGGTGTGGCAGTATATTCCATCCAAGCTGTAAAAACTTTTGGCGAGTTACCAAACTTGTATGAGGTCTCGCATTATCTTGATGGAACACTACACCTTTTCTATTGATCAATTCTAGCCTTTTCTGTTTAAGTGAATCATTCAATTTGTCCAGCTGATGACAGTACACTTCAGAATTGATCGTTGTGTTGTCCGGTAGAAGCTCAAAAAAAAAAACGATTCCTTTGAATCCCACCAAACAGATAGCATCACCTTTTTTTGATGAATATCGGCTTTCGAAATGCTTTGAGCCGGTTCATCTTTTTTACTCCATGATCTCTTGCATTTAACATTGTTGTAGACAACCCATTTCTCGTTCCCAGTGATGATGCGCTTAAAAAATGGATCATTTTCTTGACGTTTGAGAAGCAAATCACAGACGTCAATGCGACGGCACAAATTTCTTTCCGAAAGAACATGAGGAACTCATATATGAGCTTTGAGATTAAATCTAGGCGTTTCAAATGATCATGAACGGTCGAATCCGATAAATTTAATCTCTCAGCGATCTCACCAGTTGTTATTCGCCGGTTTGCATCAATTAATGCCTTTATTGTGTCTTCATCAGCTTCAACTGGCCTTCCAGAACGTGGTGCACCTTCAACATCAAAATTGCCGGATCGAAATTTGCAAACCAGTTTTGGCACTGGCGTTCTGTCAATACATCTTCTCCATACACATCCGATAATTTTTTTCTTGCTTGAAGCAGCATTTTTACCTTTTCGATAGTAAAAAAGTAAAATATGCCGAAAATTCTGCTTTTCACTTTCCATATTTGATGGGGCACCAACCAAAAACTACTGCGTAGAATCAATCGAACTTTTTTTATAAGCAAGCCTTGCTATATCAGCTGTCAAAATATATAATGATTATGCGGTTTAAGTGTGAAATTGGCTGTAAAAAAATATAATTAAGTCCTCTGTTGGGAAAAAACGAAATTATTTTCCGAACAACTCAATATTATAATATCTTCAATATTTTCAATGAGTATAGTGCGTTTCTATGTCATTAATTGTACCTTGTACGTATATTTTTAAGTAACAAGTTATAAAAATGAACACTGAAAAAGAATTTACAAAATTTGAATAAATAATTTGTTTAAATAGTACTAATAAATAGTACTAACCAATGGTACTATTTACTTACAGTAAAGAAATATTTCTTTAATTAAAAAAAATTATGCTTAATTTAAATATTAAATAAATAATTAATATTTAATATGTTCTATAAATATTAAATATTAATATAGAATTTAATATATTAAATATTAAATATAGAGAATAAATATTTATTCGATTTTAAAAAATGATTAAATCAAATAAATATTAATTTTCTGTAAGTAAATGGTCAAATTGGTACTATTTAAACAAATATTTATTAAAATTTTATAAATTTTTTTTTTCAGTGTAATAATATTGTTGGCGTCGTCGTCGGCGTCGTTAGTCAGCGTAGACGTCATTTGGCGTCGTCGTCGGCATCGTCGTTGGCATAGGCGTCGACATTGGCATCGTCGGTCGCTGTCGCCGATGTCATCACCATCAGTCGTCATCGCTGCCGTCGCCGTCGCCGTCGCCGTCGCCGTCGACGATGCCGAATGACGTTAGATGAGTTCAGACGATTATATTATTATATCATTCGTCGAAAACATGCTCCATGGTGATGGTGAGTTTTGGTTCAAAATCATCATGAGCGATGAAGCTCATTTCACATTGAATGGCGCTGTTAATAAGCAAAACTGCCGCTTTTGGGCCGACGAAAATCCTTGTGAGATATTCGAGGAGCCTCTCCATGATCAAAAAGTGACCGTTTGGTGCGGCGTATCGGCCAAAAAGATAATCGGGCCGTATTTTTTCGAGAACGAGGCTGGCAAAGCCGTTACGATCAATGGCGCGCGTTACAGAGCGATGCTGCGTGACTTCGTGTTTCCGGAAATGACTGAAAATGGCATGGCCGACTTCTGGTTCCAACAGGACGGAGCCACAGCACACACTACCCGCGATTCAATGACGCTACTCCGCACGATGTTCGACCGCCGCGTCATATCGAAAAACGGCGATTTCGACTGGCCTCCCCGCTCACCCGATTTGACACCGCCGGACTTCTTTTTGTGGGGGTATTTGAAGAGCAAAGTGTACATCGACAAGCCGCAGACCATACCTCAACTCAAAGCCAATATTCACCGGGAAATATCGCTTATTACCACCGAGACGCTGGAAAATGTGATGCAAAATGCACGAAAAAGGGCATTGTTTTGCATCAAACATAAAGGCGGTCATTTGTTGGATATTATATTCAAAACATGATGGAAATAAAATAGAAAGGAATAAATAAAGTTTGTGTAAAAAAAAATATAAAAAAACTTGCCCACATCAAAATTTATTCAACTTTCAGATGCTATCGCAACAGATGGCGCACCCTGTATATTACATATTTGTAAATATTTGACTGTGTGTGTACATTAATATTCACTAACATTGCATATTTCTTAGAAAATAAAAGTTAATTAATTAATTATTGTAATACATAGGCATTGTGAAAGCTTCTTGAATAACAAGTTGGCTTTACGTGTGTGAGTACGTTTAAAACTTGAAAAATAACGCAAATGATCTTTTTGGGTTAAGAGATCTCGTGATCTCAAAATTGAGTCTATCAATTTTAATCGGACTAGTTGCAATCGAAAGCTCGTACTTCGAATATATAATAAAATTGTCATTAGATTTTTTATTACGATTTTAGTTTCTGAGATATTTTAATTCAAATAAATTTTGACAAAAGAATTCTGGATAAGCTTGGTAGCGTCGCGACGTTTGTTCGCAGTGACATTCATGTCAAATGGCCTATTCGATCAATCTTTTTCTTATGTACTTGGCTAACGCGTCGCTTGGATGTAAAATCATAAAATATATCATTGATATATAGTATGTAGTAACAAAAACTTATTTCGCTTTTTTGTACTTTTTTATATAAAATATAAAGACTTTTCGAAAGTTCTAGAAGAAAAACTACGACATTTGAAGTTTTGTGCTTGTGAAGAATTTTATCAGCTTGACATAAGCTACAAAATATTAACTTTTAACGAAATTTGAAAACCATTTTCCATAAAATTTGTGTGGAGTTTTTTCTCAAAAATCTCTTTTTTTTTATTAAAAAAAATAGTTTTTGGATACGTGCATGTGCTTAAAAATGGGAACTTCACTATTTATTATCTAATTTCAACATTTTTTAAGCCGCGAAATGGAGAAAAGATTTTTTCAACACACGCACGCACGCACGCACCAGTGAGATGGAGGGACATCTGTGTTTGCGCAGCAGCAGCCATCAATTGCATATGTATTACATTAAAGGGCATTATTAGAATCTTTATAGAAGGAAAATAAATAATTTATTTATATCTTTTCCATAAAAAAGTTATAAACAAAATTAATTAATCGCTTTTAAGAGAAAACAGAACCTTTATGAAAAGTTTAATGATTTTTTGTAATTAGCATCTCGTTGTGTGGAAGTTGAATGTAAAGTCCTTATACCACGCTATAACAGTTTTATTGTAGATCTTGATAAAGCAATGTAAATGAAACCATTGGTACAATCTTTTGAAAATTGTGGAGGTTGATGTAGAAGTCTTAGACCTCGTTTTAACGTTATTGTTAACCTTGATATGAAGATAGATGAATATGTTAATATAAATCTATTAACTATAATTAAATATGGCAATAAAACGGTAAAATAGTAAAATATAATAAAAGTGTACCTTGATGAAAATAGTCCAATTAATAAAATTGTAATAAATTAAAGGAGCACTGCTACGATCAGGAGTTAATTATCAGAGGAAAGTTGTAAAATGATACTGAAGAGCAAAGAAATAAATGGGAATGTAGGAAGGAATATATTAGAGATATGATATATTAGAGAAATTAATGAGAATAATATATTAAATTCCTCTACTTACTCTCTTAGTTTAGACGCACACACATGTATCATAATTTAAAGAAATGTTTTAAATTTGTTTTCAACTTCTTAAATATTCTTTTCTTATTACATTGATGCATGTAATACTACATTACAACTTTATATTGTATTATGTAAATCGTCCTAATGAAATATTATTTAACTCTTAGTATGCGTGATAATATTTTAATTCTTTACTATAGGTAATAGTTGTTTTGTGCTGCTAATTAATTTTTATTACTGCTACAAGTAGACAAAAATTATTAAGCAATTTTTACATATACTTTAATATCTTTAGAAAATATTTATATAGCTGCAGATTTTAAAAAAGTAAAAAATAATGGTCATTATTTAACTAAATTATTCTAGTATTTCAATGAAAAGACATTTATAGAGAGAGATGAATTGCCTAATCATGCGTATATATAAGATTAGAAATATTAAACATAAATAAAAATATATAAAAATATATAATTTATATATAAAAAT